CAAACCCTTTGTACGAACAAAAGTAAGAGAAATTTAGGATAAGAATACGAACATGTTCTTGCATGAGGCCAAATGTGCCTACTTCTTGGAAGAGGATGTTACGTTCTTGCTAAGCTAACCAGCAGCCTCAGGGTTGGCAGCAGTGAAGACATGTCTTTGTGCTAAGCTCCTCCTCATGATGAAGTGGTCTATCTCAGCTGGAGCTGCAGACTGTAGAGACGTGTTGCTGAGGGCATTAGGCAAAGGAGCAAAGTGTGTTCCCTTGAGGCACCGATGGACCTCAGCACATGCTGGCATTGTTGAACTCAAAGTCATTTTTCTTAATCTCCTCACTTGTTTGACTCTCTTCATTGAATTTTATCCTTCTGGGAAATAAATATTTGCTCTGTAGTCACATGTATTGTGTTTTCTGCATAACTTAAAGAGGTTAAAATGGAAAAAAGTTAAAATTAGGTTAACATGAAGTAAACCCTTTTTCTTTTTCTTTCCTTTCTTTCTTTTCTTTTTTTTTTTTTTTTTTTTTTTTTTTGAAGGCAGCTAGTGCGGCGTGATCTCCGTCCATTCTTGTCAATGTTTTGACTTGGACATATTGGGGTTTTCCATCCGTCTATTATCTTCACCTGTTTCTTCCTTTCTGGGTTGAGGGCACTGGTGCCCACATCCAGGGCTCACTGTGCGAGGGGTGGGGTACACCGTACACAGGCTGTAAGTGCTGCACACAGACAACCAACTGTTCACACTCTCATTCACACCTAAGGACAATTTAGAGTTGCCCGATTATCCTAACATGCATGTTTTTGGTCTGTGGGAGGAAACTAGCCTGGTAAAAACCAGACACTTGTCCTTCACTTTGCTTCGTACGAGGGTCTGGACTCACTGGTATAGAGAAGCAATTCTTGCTGGAGGCGTGGCCTCTGCTGAAGTGTTTTGCTATGAAGGAGGCTAAGCTAAGAAGCTAACCAGAAATCACGTGTGCTGTAAACAACCCTACTGAGAGGAGAAAAGTATCGAGCCTAACGAGACGACTGTAAATGAGAGCTGCTGCTTTGTCAGAAAAATTTAATTTAATTTGGAAGCCTTACCCCCAATTTACATTACATGCGTCTCAGCTCTGCGCAGCGCAGCGCAGCGCAGAGCTGTGCATTTCAAGTCCAGTTTACACTACCTCCGCTCCGCTCCGGTCCGACAGACGTGCAGGAAGGAGATTGCGCGATAAATTCAGTGATAAATGTGGAAGTCACAGCAAAAAATAATTAATTCTGTGAAAGACGAACTCCAAACACAGCTGAAAACAACGATATAAAGGCTTTTGGTATCTATGTTGAAACTGTCTCGCTGTCGTCTTTCTGAAACTTCTAATTTCAAAATAAAATCCACGTGTTTCGTGTGTGTACACATATGGTTCATGCTACATGTTTCCATCTGCTTCCCAAACAGAATGATACAATC